ACACACACACACACACACACACACGCGCGCGCGCGCGCGCGCGCGCACACGCACGCACACATGTATACTTATATATTTATGAGATGTTCATAAATAATTTTAACTTCTCTAAAATCTTAAGAATTTTATTTATATAGAAAGCACGTATAGCATGTTTCTGGACTAGGCTTTTGGCATCTTGTATGTGTTAATTTTATTAAAGAATATTTTTAAAATATCCTATATTTCGTATGGAGATATGTTTTCTAGTAGATAATTAAATTTCGCAGTTGTCGATGTTATCTTAATGCATTAACGAGAATTTAAATATTACAAAAAATAACTTCGCGCCTATGATACGTGCTTTACCACATTTCACCAAATGCAAAATGCGAAAAAGATTTAGTTGTTACATCCTGTACCGTAAGAAAGAATTACAACTGATTTCTTGTTCTGACACTTGTTCATAACACACTAGTTATAGACATAGTTATAGCGAATCATTCAGAATCGCAATATCTGAAAATTGGAAATCACTAAAAGAATAATCTTGTTAATTATTCAAGTAAACTCAAGTAATTTTGAAATGTATGAAATTAATTTCATATATTTCAAAATTTATTTAAAAAATTTAATTTTAAAATCAATGTGAAATTTCTTTTGAAATTGAAAAGTGATCTTTTGTGAATATTTTGTAATTTTTTTTTAATCATCCCACGCACATTTTTATCCTTTTCCTTGTGCTCTGCGGTACTTTATAAATTAAAGACAATGTACAAAAATTATGACCATGCCCGTGAAAAAATAATAGAAGGCGTCCCGATGTCCGTGCCTCTATTTAATTACACCATTATGTCATTAAAAGGTGGCAGCAAGAAGCCTTTTACTTATTTTATACTCGTTTTACTTGTTTTACTACGTTTTTACTACACAACTCGTTTTGCTTCATGAAGATCCTGCCGTCTGTTTGGCGCGAAGCCAATCAAAACAGTATGCTCGATGAAAGTTCGCTTCGGGGAATATATTAGCCAGATTTCTTTTTGGATAGGCATACTCATCCCGCAATGCGTATTATTAAATTAACATTAAATACGGGATATTTATTACAAAGATCCGTTTAACGTTTAACATTTGAATGTCGATTTGAATTTCAAAATAGTTTGTAGATTTATATTATATATTGATTTATATATTATATATATTTATTACTATATATATGATATATATATTACATATATATATATATATATATATATATAATATATTATAAATATATTATAGATATATTTATAGATTGATTTTTAACATGTCGAATCGAATTCGCTTGTCCTCTATACAATATACTTGCGTAAATTTACATAATTAAAAATAAAATTATTTATATAATTATATAATTACACACAATTTTAAAGATTATTATTTATGAATTTTGTGTATTTATACATCATATTAAATTTAATAACGTCACCTACAATGACTGGCGCGACATTCAATGTGTTAAAATTCTTTGTTTTTCATATTATGTATGATCTTTTCTATTTTTATAAATACACATTTATAAGTACACATTAATAAATTAATAAAATTTTAAAAATGGATCTGATTATACATCAAGAGCTACTAAATAATAATATACGAATTTTAATTTTTTAATTTGTGATCTCATTGAAGCTAAAGTAACCGGATCCGTTTACTCAATAATGAATGATCCATTTATTCAACAAATGAATGTCTTTTGAGCCAAGGCCAACTCGTTTCTAACGGTACTTTTTTTACCTACATTGCCGCTCGTTTCATTTGTCGTCTGAAATTAATCCATCAGATTAATCGCTGAAAGTGATAAGTATTCGCTCTTTTTTTTCTTCGTCTCTTTAACCCGATTTCGGCTGACCTTTTTCTTCCTCTCCATTTTTGGCTCACTTTTGGCCCGTGGTGTACAATAAAAAAAGGGTGGTTCGTTGACGACGCCGATACGTATTTGGGCTCTACACGACGATCGGTATCCAGTAACCCAGCTTCCACCTGCTGATCCAGGCTTCTGTCGGCCCACTGAGCGATCGAGAGATCACACGAAACAGGTTCCGTTTTGCTTCCTTTTTTATCTCGAGGTAATTCGTCAGGCACGCGTGAGCCGCCAAAACCGGTATGTTAAATTAAATCGGGACATTCGGACATTGGGCACCGACTCTTCAATCTTGAAAATATTTTAAAATCAAAATTATCCCTGCATACAAATTAGCATCGGACTGACATTCATACGTGTCCACCAGCGTTCAGATGTTATCGAGGAAGGCGTGACGGCGTGTCTGTCGTTACATTCATTCGAACGATGAGAGACGGCTGCCAATTGAAATGTAACTCTGCGTTAAATGCGAGCGAGGATGCGCGTACAAAACCGCGGTACGAATCGTCGATCGCTTCCGACGATTTGTTGACATTTACTTCTACGGTCAGATTGATTAAACACCCCGCTTTATACTTGTCACTTGCGAAGTGCGTAATTATCTTCCGCCGTCGCGATTCCTCAGATTCCGCAGAAAGGAAACGCGCGGTGGCCGTTCACAAAAGGAAACGAATGAAAATCGAGAATGTTTAAATTTCTGTGCGTCTGTCGGTCTGTCGACCGCGTGTCGACCGCATGTGACGAAAGTCTAGTTTGCCTCCCTTCATTCCTGTCTCCTCCGCCCTTAGTCCTTATATATCCCCGCAATATATTCCTCCCGTCGGTCAAAGTTCACCCTCTAAAGCTTCGAAGCTAAAAATTTCGGGAACTTCCGAACTTTTCCGACGCGGCTCAGGAGAGTTTTCCTCCTCCCCGAGTCACGCGAATCGATTATCGCGACGATAATAGAACGGATGTACAAATTTTTTTTGCGCGTGACAGTTTTTGACCAGTGCGGTGTCGGTGAAATCTGTGAATTCACAGATAAATTATGCCGGTCCATTTTAAGACTAAATGGTAAATCATGACTAGGTGAAAGGTAAACAGGAACCGATAAAAGAAACCTTTTAATGTGTGGCTCGAACTATTTGGATTTTGGAACCGTGCTACACAGTCGGCGAACGGTCCATTGACCTGTTTCAATTCACCGGATTATCATTGACATAGGTTTTTTGCGCCTGCCACATCGCTTTCTCCTTGATCGCCGTTTTTCTTTTCGCGCCGCGCCGCGCCGCGCCGCGCCGGAAGCTGCACGGCGAAAAATTCTCTTTTCATCGCGTCGACGAGAAAATATTTGCAAATCAAATCGTCGTCGTCGTCGTCGTTGCCGTTACGTTTCGGAGTAGTAAGATAACAGACACGTCCTTTCGGGCGTTTTGCGAAAAAGCAGCACGGAGGAGTGCCGTTCTCGCCGTGGTGCGAAAATCAAATTTATCATATCGCGGACGTCACTTTCTATTTGCGCGCCACCATTTCCCAAGTAGCGTTGATCTCGCTCGAAGATCTCGCTGGTAGTCCGTGATGACAATGTTCTAAGGTTTAACGAGAGGGAGTCTGGGGATGTATCCTCGCGTTTCCTCGCGTCCTTGCCCGAGCGACGTCGCTCGCGGCGCCCACTTTTCTGACACGGGGCTTCTCTGACTCGCAAAAAAACGACAGCGAGGAAGCCTCTTGGCGAACGTGCGGAGATGCTGTACGATGCTCTCGTCTGGAAAACGAGGCTACACACAACGTCGTGTAACCGGTGGCACCTACATGACGGCATTCCGCAGACGGCGGTCTGAAAAGATGAATTGTTCCGACATATCTTTGCCAGGCGAAACTCTCGAGACGTTATCCCGTTTAACCATCGTACGACTGATGCTGCCGCTGTCGCGTGTAATGATCGATGATTGATATTGTAATATGCCAATATCAGCCAATCAGAATAGATTTCCGACGATGTGAAGCCTTGTCTTTAGGCGAGCGTGATCTTGATGGCTCTGAATCGACATGCTTATTTTGACAACGACAAGACAGGACACGGAAGGATGAAATAATGAGTTTTGTTCTTTTTTTTTTAGACGAATACCTCTGTCGTTGTAATATAATGCATATCTTTATTGAATCTCTCCTTAAAGAACGATTAGATCTCTGTAGTCCCCAATTTGCTTAATTCTATAATTACACGATTCTGTTTTAACGTATGAGAGTAAAAAATGAGTATAGATAAGCGTCTTTTTTAACGGGATCCGATTTAGAAAATTTTGTTACCAGCGCATATAACTTATAATTAATAATATTTTATAATTAATATAACAAAATTAGAATATTACAAAAAAATTAAAGTTAAGATATTTAATTTCAACAATTAAACAGTATATTAATTATCGTTTCTTCATATACATTCTTCATTTTACTATCTATTTTTTTCATGTGAAATTATTTGATATCTGTCACAGAGTACAAATAAAAATGAAATAAGCAGATATTATAACCACCACATTTGATGTAACATGAAAATAAAAATTCAGCGTGCAATATAAGCTGCTGAAAAAGTGAAAATATAAAAACGTGAAAACAAAATTTATACGCCTTTTATTTATCTTATCGCGAGAAGCTCAGTCCACACACGCACAGAAAATCAACCATCATAGTTTCGCGTTCCGCGGGCGGAAGTAGAAATCGCGCGGAGGTGCCGCGGGAGGTGCCCCGCGAAAATCCGTTGTCTCCGCTCGCGCGAGATCGCGGCGGAAGGGGGGACGAACCTGGCGAACCAGTCGGTGATCAGAGGGTGGATGGGGATCCTCCCGATGGGGATCCTCGATCCTCTACCTCCGCGCTCTATCTCGCCTCGATCGATGGCTCTCTGGCTGGGGATCTATCCCCACGATCGATTCCCACCACCGGATCCGCGGTTTTGGCCTCGTTTACGTTTGCGTCGCTTACGCTCGCGGGAGATACCACCTCCGACGTGCCGGTCGACCACCACCAAAGACACCGGGTGGCGGAGGATACCCAGCACCAAAGTTATAAAGCTAACCGGCTAAGCTGATGCGCGGCGCTGCCACTTTGTCGAGCGACCACGACGTGCCACGATTGTCCCCCTCCCCCCGCCCCCCTCCCCCTCGTATATAAAAGAAGAGAAGAAGCGGATTTTTTTTCCTTTCTCACGGACGGACAATACGGACGTATCGCGCGCGGTGTCATCCTCGGCGCACGGTCGTCGGGCCGTGTCACTTTGAACGTTAAATCGCGGGTGCGGTTGTAACCACATATAACGTATACTCCCGGACACGAAGCCCGGACACACCACTACGCTCCCAGCGTTGCACGCCACGAAGAGAGCAAGGATTCCGACTCGCGATATAAGGTACTCTTGAGTAAAGAACCGCGCCAGGTAAGGAAGTCCTTTTCCCATCCCTCGAGAACAAGATCCTACTTTAAAATCGAGTATTGCTCGTACGTTTACTCTACGTACGGGTAACGTCTTTTACGATAGAAGCTCGCTCAAAAAAGCTTTCCTTGTTAATATTTAATTAGCACGGTACGTAGCCGTAGATGCATAAATTAATACTTGTCGGAAACTAAATATTTAATAAAATTGCGCGTTCACAAACGTTACACGTTATTTTTATAAAAGCATAATATAAAGCGATTTTTTTTTCTCATTTAAAAATTCTCCAAAAGATGCAACTATTTGTTTCAGAGTTTCTCTATTGTGATTATATATATATATATATATATATATATATAGTACGAATAATAATTAATATGTCATTTTAATTAATTTTTAATTTTATTCTTATCATGAAAACAAAAGAATGTCGCATCTGCAAAATTTACAAATGTCATGTAAATGAAATGCTTACTTTGCAAGTAAGCATTTCATAACTTGATGATGCAATGGTATTTTAATTTCTTTAAAGCGTAATTATGTTACTTACGCAATTTTTTTACGATAAATAGCTAAAAAATGTCAATAATAAAATATATCTTGTCTAGAGACTATAAAAATATTAACTTTAGTTAAAAGCTTAACAAACTGACGTTATTTTTGCAATGTGTAAGAAATATATTAAAAATATTTTATATTAAAATATTTAATAAATTAAAATTAAAAAGAAATTGTTAAATATTATTCAGACATTTATAAGTTTTATAAATTGATGTATAAAATACACATTTTGCTTTGCGGGCAAATTTTAAAGGATTTTCATAAATAAAATTAAAGAAAATTATATTGATATAAATATATTAATAATACAAAGCATAAATACGATATGTTTATTTTCCGTTAATACAAGATATTTCTTTCAAAAAGAAATAATTATATAATTGTAATTATAATTTATAATTTTTAATTTTATAATTTTTCTATTATAAATTTTAATATAAATAACTTTTACAAGTCTTCTCTCTTTTCCTCTCTTTAAAAAGATTTTATAAAAACTTAAATAGAAATTACTTCTTAATTTCGAAAGTTTTAATAAACAAGAAAAAGAATTAAAAAATGCAAATAAATTATACATTGCAAAATGAGACGTATTTAATATCTGTTTAAATATTTGCAGCTTTATTAGTTTGTACGTTTAATTAATTTAGAAAAACTGTTTTTTTACTTTTAAGATTTTTAAAGCTCAAAATGTATAGTGATTACTTGATTAAAGATTATTATCTAAAAATATTTAGATTTTGAAAGTGTAAATTATCGATATGCGCAAATTTGTAGTTGGATGACTTAAAGAAACGTTAATAAGATCGACGAGTAAAGAGTACGACATGTATGTTCCACTGCCCCTGTAATGATTAATACGCTTCTTACAGATTCATCGAGTCATTTATATTAGTATTCAGATCGTTCGTTACAAGCTTAACTTTCGCTAGACAGCTTAACATTCGCATTGCTGTCTGCCTCGCCAGCTACATCTGCCATTACGAGCAAGATGCAATTGAGTGAAGATCAAAGCGTACCTTAAAGAAGAATTTCAAAGATTTCTCTCGTTCGCTTTTGCATGTCGATGCCCGTCTATACCTCCGTTCGAAATGAAAGTGCAGATTATTTTCACGTATTATACTTAACGACCGTTAATAATTATATTGCAATGAAAAATCTAATTATAAAATGGATTTTTCGTTATTGATTATTTTATTAGTTTAAATCTTATTTATATATAATCTGTCGTTCATGCAACAATGTAGATTATTTGTTTTGCACCGATTATTATTATTATTATTGTCGTTAGTATTGTCATTAATGTGCTAAATGAAAAGAGAAACGCGAAGCTCGTCGTCACGTTATTAGTAATTTAAATGCTTGGATTTTGATCAAGAATATGCGATTTTCTCAATGATTTGTTAAAGAGCTTTCAAATCTTCTTTTGATTTATTATTCACGCCAAAGGAGAAGGTCTTGAAGGTGCTTCATTATTTATTTTTCTTCATATAAATGACAGCCAATTTGGATCTTCAAGAAAAAATAAATTCTATGGAGAATATAATCCTCCTCGGAATAATCAACATTAGATTTATCATGAAATTTAGAAAAATATCTGACACGCTTATTATTTTCGATTTAAAATACACCTTACAACGTACACACGTGAATACGTACGACTGTATTCGCTGATAGATATTCATACAAAGCGGAACAACAACAACTTCCTTGTGCGTTACAACTTTCATATCCAAAAAATTTTGCAGAAAATTTTTTAATCTTTTTCCTATATATAATGGAAAAATCTTACGGAGATAAATCTTTCTTTACGCATTACTTCCTTTCGCCTGGAAAGATCTTTTACAAAATATACATTTTTTTTTTATAAAAATCTATACAAAATATAAGATCTTCTTTGTCGTTCTACAAGAAACAATTATTTTGCGATTTTCGTTGGGAAATAAAGGAAATTAAGGAAAAGACAAAGTCCAAAGATCTTGATTATTGCCTTCTTAAGACATAGACTTCAGGATTGCGACAATTACGCTATGAATTCACTGCGAAATCGTCCGCTTAAGGAAAGTAACTTTCCTCGGAGGATATGCTAGTTGATGGATCGTCGACTTGACAACACAAGCTGCTTAGAGAAAGAAGGAAAAAAATGCAGAAAGAAACAAGTGTTTGCGTCGGGACACGTTCGTAGAGACTTCGGGAGATAGCGGGAGATAGATAATAATTTCTTCGGAGCGTGAAAGTTATGTTCTGCGATACAGACGGCGAGTGAACGACCGGATGATGTGCATCGAGGAAATGGCTATTAAGGAACTAATTGCGAACTGATGCACGTACAGCATGTTTCGTTTAATCTGATCGATGCTTCGCAGACACACGTTCGATCTTTTGAATGTCTTAATGTCACACGCGTTTATTTACCGCAACTTTTTTGCCCTGCGCGAGTGCGCCTTTTCTTCTGCACGTTTTCAAATATTTCAGAAATATATATCCCTTTTTGAGAAAAGCTTTTCGAAGCACTAAATCAATTAAAAATTAGAAATAGTTTTCACCTTTACTATGTTCCGCACGTAACTAAGTTACATCAAAATGCTTTAGCCTGAGATTATCTTTTCACGAGGTGGCAATTTTCGAGCGTATGTTCACTCGCGATATGTTATGTTATTAATGTAAAAAAAAAATTTTATGTCAGCGGAAAAATGCGTCATGAAATAAGAAATTATACGTTATAACACGTTTGCTTGTCTAAAAAGTTTCGTTATCTCGAAAAATGCTACGTAAGTGCTATTTTATTCAATCATTTGCGATGAAATAATCATCGTTTTCCTCATAAATAATTTAAATTGAAATGAGGCTTAAAATCGAAAAATAACTCTACGTGATCATTCATAAATTGCAATAACAAGTTCACGAGGTTACTGACGTCACGTGTAATTGATCCTTTTACATGTTGCAGACGATGGCGAACCTCATTAATTCAACAGCCCAATTTATCAACGATGCATATGACTACTACCTCTGGACATTGTCTCTCGCAGGTCTTTCTATTATACTAGGAATTCTATTTTATTAAATATTGTATTCGAAATTCTTATATAATATCAAATTAATAAAATAATCATTTTTCTCTTGTATTATCCAATGTGTTTAGTAAGTTTTATATGTGATTTCTTAATCATAATTATATATTATAATATATAAATTCATTTGTAATAATTATAAATTTTATAAAACAATATAATATTATTGTTATATAAAATTTATAAATAAATGTACACACGAATGTAATTTAAATATAAAGACTTACTTATAGATAGATAACACAAAAATTAATTTGATTGTATCAAACAGTATTATACAGACAAGAAGTATTGTGAATTTTACAAGGCGGTTAATATCATAATATGTTTCGATCTTTAGACGAGAGGACGAGAGGATGGTTACTGGTTGACTCGCCGAAACCAACGTTTATATATACGATGCTGTATCTCCTCATCGTCTGGGCCGGTCCTAAAGTCATGAAAAAACGAAAAGCTTTCAAATTAACGTGGGCACTGGTACCCTACAACCTTGCCATGGCCTGTCTCAATGCTTATATTGCCATTCAGGTGAATATCCTTTCTCGTCTCGATAATGGATAAAATATCACGGAACTTCTATTTATTTTTCTTATTTATCTGTATGCAGTCACTTTCACTCGAAAGTGGGTTTCGCTTATCTCTCCTTGTATTCTTTGCAGTTGTTCGTAGCATCCACAAGGTTACGATATAGTTACGTGTGCCAGCCAATAAGGCACATTACGCGTCCCGATGAACTTCAGGTAAGAGAATTTTTACAATATAAATAAATGAAGTATGCGGAAGTTGTTCACTTCAATGATCGGTTAAAGCGAAAGTTCGACTTTATATCCAAATGATACAAATGATACAAGAAGAAGCCTTTCGAAAATTCGATATTTTCTGATATTTTAGATCGCTCACGCAGTTTGGTGGTACTACTTTAGCAAGCTTCTGGAATTTTGCGATACATTTTTCTTCATTTTGCGGAAGAAAGACAATCAGTTGAGCTTCCTCCACGTCTATCATCACTCTACCATGTTCTCGTTATGGTGGATCGGTATTAAATGGGTACCGAGTGGATCCAGTAAGTTTTTTCTTACCTCGAGATTTAATTCTATTAACTACTAAATATACTATTAATAATTATTAATTTAAGTTCGATTATTATAAACGAGCCAACGTTTCTCTAGGTCTAGGAAATTACTCAAATTACATAGGTGACAGTTATTAGTGGCAGTAAACGTATCTGTTTTCAAATAAATAGTAATTCATCGGCATTCATCGCCGAGTGTGAATTAAAATTTGTAGAAGTGTGCAAAAATCAAATCACGTTGTTGCATTCCATTTTCTGGACGATTGTTGAAATTTATACCGAAAATTACGATTTGTGCCCAGTAAGATTTATTACGCACGTGTTTACAGCTTTTCTGCCAGCGATGGTGAACAGCTTCATCCACGTGCTGATGTACTCGTACTACGGACTCGCCGCGCTAGGTCCTTCGGTGACCAAGTATCTCTGGTGGAAGAAGTACTTGACGATCCTCCAGCTCATCCAATTCACGACCGCCTTGATTCTGGGGGTCAACGGCATTCGATCGGGTTGCGATTTCCCACTCTGGATGCAGTACGCCCTCGTGATCTATATGCTTTCCTTCATCGTCTTGTTCGGAAACTTCTACGCCAAAGCCTACATCGCGAAGGTCAGACTTGGGAATTTCGATTGGAGATGCATTGCCATATATATATATTTACGTATCGGTCTCTGATTGGCGTTTCGTTGTTTGCAGGGTAAACAGGTGTACGCGGAGAAGCGGCTCGAGAGGCTAAAAGCCATGGAGAAGGCGTCGATGAGCGCGCAACTCGACGGTGCCGCGATCAGCAACGGGATGATCGCGAACGGACACGCGAACGGACACGCGAACGGCTACGCGAACGAGACGTTCAAGAAGAAGACTCAATGAGGCGACTCTCCCCCGGAGGTCTCTACGAAGGGGGAGCCTCCCCCGTTCGAACCACGGCGCTCGCGACGCGCGACGAAGGAAGAACAGTCATTGCAGACAGCGATCGCGTAGAAGCGATGCGTCGTGGTCGATGTGTGGAAGTAGCATAATTACACACACACACACACACACACACACACACACACACATGTATAGTATATA